TTTCTGTCACCTTGAATCACGAGCGCTCAAAGACAAGGATTGCTCAAATTATTCAAGCTTTCCCCCTTGAAATTATCTAGCTTGGTATATACATGCGCAGAGGTTCTTGATGAAATTTATTCATGTTAGAGAATCTAGCAAGGGAAATGAGGTGCGAAACTAGTTAAGGAGGGTGCATTTTGTAATCGCTTGAGCGATCCGTCGCTTCAAAGTGCGAGCGACGGGAGATTTACGAGCTGATGGCGCCGAATTATCGGTGGTCGGCGGTGTAAATCTCCCGTCGCTCCTGCAATTGGTGCAACAATCGCTCCAATCGCAAAGTCTGACATCGGCCATTATGGTCGACCAAAAGTGACCACCTTTCCTGAAGGCGGGTGCAAACGCAACGGTTGAGCCTGCCATAAACCGTCTGCTTTCTACCTTTTCGACACGGAACATAGAGAAAACTTCGAGCAGCCACACTAGGGAAGGAGAGTAAGGCATCGGGTGTATGAATCATCCCCTCCTCGCTCGCCCAAATTCCTGATCATGGCTTCGCTGTGTACATTGTACGCCCACTGTGCTCCAAAATTGAGCATGCTCCTCTTCCACTAACTAGTCTTGTACCGGAAACGGATACCCGAGCGGAAACACTGATAAAGCGCACGGTTTCGTTGCTAGGAGTAAGTAACTTTTTTTCTACTACAAGTCCATAAGGAATAAAACGAATCCAAACATAACGCTACCTCTTTGTGAGCTTCTTCTCATTCTCCATTTTCATGCCGGCGACCTTATCATTAACTTCATCGTCCGACATGGTTCGCCCAACTAAAAAAGAGCAACATGATCACTGCAGAATAAAACAAAGATAGAGATTGCAGTCCAATACACTGAATAGTTTCCAATCATGAAAAACTATTTCTATTTCATATGAACTAAAGCTGCTCATTCAACAACCAAAAGTAATGAAATGAACAAGGCTCAACTGTCAATACCAAAAAAAAACCGATGATGCTCAAGGTCTGCCCTGAACTCTAAAAGCAACACTTTGTAGCGAAAAGTACTTCAACCATATGTAGCAGGCAAGCCCACTCGACTCTAATTAACATGCTCAAAGAGATAACCACCAAAGAGAAAAACTGAATTCCGGACATCGTTTCTAGAAAGGTCTGCGATTATATAACCGCTTCAAAAAGTGTGGCGTCTGTTTAGGTGTGTTCTGTAATGCAGAGGGCCTCACTTACAATACGAGCACTCTACAGAATCCGCTCCTATTGGTAGGAGACGAATGCGAGTATCAACCAGGAGAATAGGTGAACCAGAGGATCACGAACTATCAGAAACGTGTGCAGGTCGATTCAGTACCTACATACCTCCGCTTTCCGCTTTCAAATCCCACTCCGTGCAAAATTTTATCAGTGGTTGACAATTTTATAGGGAAAAGCCAACACAACAAAACGGACCCATTCGGGATTGATCTCAATGGAAAAAAGCGTGCACGGATGGCCGAGTGGTCTAAGGCGCCAGACTCAAGAATTAACTTGCCGCGAGTCAGCGGATTGAGCGTTCTGGTACTCGTATGGGTGCGTGGGTTCAAATCCCACTCCGTGCAAAATTTTATCAGTGGTTGACAACCGATGGGGATAGCAAACACAACAAAACAGACCCACTCGGGATTGATCTCAATGGAAAAACCGCGACGCACGGATGGCCGAGTGGTCTAAGGCGCCAGACTCAAGAATTAACTTGCCGCGAGTCAGCGGATTGAGCGTTCTGGTACTCGTATGGGTGCGTGGGTTCAAATCCCACTCCGTGCAAAATTTTATCAGTGGTTGACAACCGATGGGGATAGCAAACACAACAAAACAGACCCACTCGGGATTGATCTCAATGGAAAAACCGCAAGCGTGCACGGATGGCCGAGTGGTCTAAGGCGCCAGACTCAAGAATTAACTTGCCGCGAGTCAGCGGATTGAGCGTTCTGGTACTCGTATGGGTGCGTGGGTTCAAATCCCACTCCGTGCAAAATTTTATCAGTGGTTGACAACCGATGGGGATAGCGAACACAACAAAACAGACCCACTCGGGATTGATCTCAATGGAAAAACCGCGCAAGCGTGCACGGATGGCCGAGTGGTCTAAGGCGCCAGACTCAAGAATTAACTTGCCGCGAGTCAGCGGATTGAGCGTTCTGGTACTCGTATGGGTGCGTGGGTTCAAATCCCACTCCGTGCAAAATTTTATCAGTGGTTGACAACCGATGGGGATAGCAAACACAACAAAACAGACCCACTCGGGATTGATCTCAATGGAAAAACCGCAAGCGTGCACGGATGGCCGAGTGGTCTAAGGCGCCAGACTCAAGAATTAACTTGCCGCGAGTCAGCGGATTGAGCGTTCTGGTACTCGTATGGGTGCGTGGGTTCAAATCCCACTCCGTGCAAAATTTTATCAGTGGTTGACAACCGATGGGGGATAGCAAACACAACAAAACAGACCCACTCGGGATTGATCTCAATGGAAAAACCGCATCCGTGCACGGATGGGGATAAGATATGTAAAGGACACAACAGCTAATACGAGAGCGGGTCGTATCGACACCCTCCGGAAAGGGGGGGGGGGTCGCAAAAATTCTGAGATCTGCGTCTGCGCAACGCACGTTTGACCCTGCCTGTGGTGCGGCGCCTGGCACAGTGCATAATCACAGTCGCGAACGCGGTATCAATCGCGGTTGCATTTGCGGTCGCAATGTCTGACACCTAGGTATTATACGCATCACCGCGCCGCATACGACCCCGCGACACCACCGTTGCGCCGAGAGCGCTGCTCAGTGGCGTGGTCCCTCCCAACGTATGCACCGGCCCCCTCTTTGGAATAAGCTCCCAAATAACGTTGCAAGCAGTTGTCTTGCAATTGCGAGTCCTAGTGCAGTCTCCACGCCAAGCCCTATTCGTAGCAGTACTGAAGGACCGCTAAGCTGCAAACCCTATATGGTCCCGCCGTGATCAGGTAGTCCCGAAACGAAACTTGAACTTGCGAAATCGCGTACGCTGCTTGCTTTGCGGCAGCGGCGGCGGCATTTCATTACGGCTCATTCGTCGTTTTTTTTTGCTTTTTGAGCTTGAAGTTGGTACTTGAACATTGGTCTCAATTTTTTCTACTCATTTGCGTGCACCGTTTTGCATGAATAGTCCGCTACTTTCGCTAGAATGGGTCACGGTTCTTCGCGCTTGTACATGCGTTTCTTTTGTATTTCTTGCATGTTTGTGTCTGAAATTTTTGCTCCCAGCGCATCAACTAGTAATGCGCGGTTTGGCTGCAGGATTGAAATTTCAGGCACATTCTCCATTACTCCTGTTAAATTTGCCTTCTAATTCATTTGATCTCATTTCATATTCATCCTTACAGTGGTTATGCTACGGAATGAGTACTGATTAACCATGGGTGAGGTTGAATGACTTCATATTTTCGGGAATGTGTGGCTTCCGTTTTCTTCGATTCCAGTAGACAAATGACTTTCTAAGGCCGGTGTCAGAGTCCGCCTTCCGTCGCAGGTTTCGCTTTGCACGATTTTCGCGATTTGCGCGATTCACGCGACGGGTCACGGAAATCACAAGTGCCCGATCAATACTGCAAGGTGTTCTCCAATCCTGCCGCCACTTCTGCTTGATAGTGATGGCTGAATGACGACTGCTCATGATTCCACTTGTTTCATATTCAGTGTTTCAAATGTCACACACGGGGCATTGCATCGTCGCAAGTTTCGCGCAATTGCACAAATCAGCAAAATCGCGAACTGCGGAGGAGCGCGGAGCATAGGCCCAGCGAGAGGGACATAAACAGGCCGCCGCGCGCGCGTGCATCCCCTCTCATCCCGGTTGTGGTTCGCTAGAACAGAAAACGACTTCAGAGCAAAAGCACTGCAGAGCAAAATATTTCGCTGCAGGGACCACAGTTCCAGCGGAGATTTTGGTGACTTGAGTTCCCCCGACGAAAAAGTTTCCGAAAGCATTGGCGACGTTGCGTTGCGGTCCTTGCAAGCCCTCTCCTTATCTCCACGGTTGACGGACTACTTGAACTCAGCCCTTTACCGCCTCTGCGCTCTCTAGCGGGTCCCTCTCCTCTCCAAGGCTTAGTCCTAGGGCATTCTCTAATCGTCTGTGCTCTAGCCATCGCGGCAGGACCATTGAGGAAAAATCAAGTAGTCCGTAAACCCCCTCCAACCAGGGGCCGTATGCTGAATGTTGGGTAGGGGACGGGGATGGGTGAACGTTGGGGAGGTTCGTCGCAGGACCCACTGGGCAACGGTCGCACCTTTGATTTTGCAGCTTTGTTTCCATCCTTTTACTGTTTCTGATTGTATATTCGCACGTAAATACCTTTCTTTACACCAAAAGCAGCGATGAAAGAATGGAAACAAAGCTGCAAAATCAAAGGTGCGGCCGTTTCCCCCCATACCCGTCCCTTACCCAATATTGAGCATACGGCCCCAGGTTAACGCCGGGGAGGAGAGAGATCGGATCGCTCTCCTGTTCACAGAAGCATGCATCACGGCTTCTGGGTGCAGTAGTTTGTGCAGGCAACGTAATACAAATTTTTAAAGAGTTTTTGATCTCTGCTCTAAAAAATTTCCTTGTGCTACACGTGTGCCCATTTTCTTCTTATTGCCCTAGCTATTTATAAACTCATCGTGATCTGCGTAGTTCGTTTTACCTGTTGGGTCGTTACGGAGGGCAAAAGATCTTCAAGCTAGTGTTTTCCTCTCTTGTAAAATGTTCAACAGCATCGATTGTCATTATGTTTATTGTTAGTCGATCGAACGACATTTCAGCATCGACATTCTTTCAGTCGATTTCTCGTTTGTATAATAGAAAATTTATTTTTTTTTCGTCGTGGTAGTCATGTGCAACATTCTCATCGTTGGTGTCGCTTATAATGTGCTCACATTAGTATCTTCGCCAAAGCTGACTAACTTCAGTGGTCGTGTTTCTCAAGTACCCTGTTGTTGTACCAACATTTATGGACGAACGTGTTTCCTACCGCAATCCGAAGATGACTGAATTCTCTAACAATGATCAGCGGGCAGGTAAACTGAAGCAGTTCTACGTTAGCAATATGTTGAGTTCTATTGAGCGATTGTGGACCTGGTTTGCTGTGTGTGGACAGTCAATTCAGATGCTCATCGCAGTC